TATGTATGTATGTATGTATGTATGTATGTATGTATATATATGTATATGTGTGTGTGTGTGTGTGTGTGTGTGTGTATATAATATATTTTTAATAATTGCAACTTAATCTGTATATATTAGGGGTTATATTATATGTATAGAGAGCCAGTTTGGTGTAGTGGTTAAGGCATCAGGCTAGAAACTGGGAGACCGTGAGTTCTAGTCCTGTCTTAGGCACAGAGCCAGCTGGGTGACCTTGGGCCAGTCATTCTCTCTCAGCCCTAGGAAGGAGGCAAGAGCAGACCACTTCCAAAAAACCTTGCCAAGAAAACTGCAGGGACTTGTCCAGGAAGTTGCCAGGAGTCAACATCCATCCATCCATCCATCCATCCATCCATCCATCCATCCATCCATCCATCCCCATAGGCCAATCACAATATATTTTCTTAATTTTCTTAATTATTTTTTCCAGAGAAAATGTTACTGTACTTAGGAATGTTCAAAGGTCATGCTTTAAATGAGTAAGGAAGAGTTGAGAAGAAAAGAGCCACCAATTCAAACATTTAACGTGATTGATATAATAAATTGTCTATGGGGACGGCTATATATACTGCAGTTCTACTGCAACTGCCAATGGAGGTCATCTGCCACAGGCAAAGCAGAGAGCAATGCCCAGAGCAGGTTTGACAGCGTTCCCACTTTCTCTAGGCAAGCCTGCATTTTTAAGTTGTTCATTCTCCCCTAGAGGGTTCTGACCCAGCGCTTGAGAACCCCAGAACAATGGTGCTATGGGAAGAACAAGCTCTGTAATATTTATTAAAACATGTGCTACATTTGAAATCCTATTTATTTATTATGCCACAAACATTTTCGCATGTATCATTCTGTTAAAAATTGTTCAATCTCTCTTTTGTAAAAAATAAACAAACCCAAACTGAGATATTAGGAGCAGATTTGTTATTGTGGAATGCCAAATTTAGCATTCATTTTTGTTTAAACTTGTTCAAATATCTTAGGGTGAAGTATATAGTACCATACAATAATTTTAAAAAAATGCAGACCAACATTTTAGAATAATGAAAGAAGCTGCTGGAATAACATGCACATACCTGTCCAAAGTTTTCTTCATCTATGCAAAACATGAGATCCAGTTCTGTAGGGTCATTTTCCAGAATCCATTTCAAGGAATTATAATATTCACTATCCTGTAGGAACAGCATTGTTTTCCATTAATCATTTTTTTGGAAATGTAACATAATGTATTGAAAGATGTCTACCAGCTAATTTCATTTGGCTCAATGTTCTTGGCATACATGTAGTATTCTTAAAATGTGTCAAAACTTGGATAAAATGAATGTTATGGAACACTGATGATCTAAAGCCCTTCCAAACAGCAAATATAACTTCCAAATTGCAAGATGGTCACAGTGTAAGAGAATATATGTAGCAGTGGGTTGAACTGTGGAGTCCTTGGTGCTCTCTGAGCTTGGTTGTTTTCTTGCAGACATTTCATTACCCAACTAGATAATATCATCAGTGCTAGTGGGTGTGGGGTTTTCTCCCTGTTTATATACAGTAGCTTGCTCTGCCAGTGTTGGGGGGTGGTGGTTTTCTCCTTGGTAGTTCCTTGATTAGGGTATTGTTTTCTGCTTGATTGTTTGTCTGGAATACAGCGTAAGGACTGTAACAGCCACTATGTAGAACAGAGAGGCAGAAGACCAGCAGAGCATATCCATGAACGCTGACTAGCAGTCAGAAGACACGATGAAAGCTCCTTACTCTCACAACACATGGACAGACTCAACCATAGTTTCAACTGGGAAGCTGTGAGCATCCTAGACCAAACCAAATCCAAAAACGCTAAGGAATTCCTGGAAGCTTGGCATTCAGACAAATCAGCCATCAATAGGCACATAGAGATAAACCACATTTACACCATTCAAAAGAGGCAATAAAAAAGCTAAGAAGGAAAGAAAAAGACCAAAGCACAGACAGGGAGCAATCCCACACCCACTAGCACTGATGATGCTACTTAGTCAGGTAATGAAGCATCTGCAAGCAAACCACCAAGCTCAGAGAGCACAAAACACTCTGCAGGATGGTCATTTGGATCTTCTAAATGTCAGACAGCCAATTTGAAAACCTATCAAGTGAATCATTTTTATTAGTCTCTTACCTGAGCTTCTGCAACACCTGCTTTCTCTTGCCATTAATCCTATTAGCTACTTGGAGTTCAACAACAGAACAATGAAGAACTACTTTCACTTTCTACAAAGTGAAGTTATGAAATGGAATAGCTATATATTGTAGTTGTTTTTTTTTTTTAAAGGCTCAGCATAGTATCTAGCAAATTGACACTCACTTTATGGGAGGTCAATGTAATACACACAAGCCTGAATACAGCCCTCATGTCCTAGGCATTCTCTCTCTCTTTGATACACCTACATAAGGCCATCCTGTGAAACTATTGTGTATGATGATTTAAACATGGGTCCAAGTGCAACATTTCTATCAGTGTATCACAATGCTTGAGGTGAACAGGACAATTGTCTTTTTTGCCCTTTATTAAAAGAGTGCTAAATTTATTCAAGAAACCTAGAATGCTCATATTTTCTTTCATGGAAAGGCTTTGAGCAACTGTCAAACTTTTAATTAAAAAACTACCAAAATATTTTGCTAATTGTTCATTTCATGTTGAATCTAACCATATTAGGAATTTGAAATTGTTACCTTGGTAGTTTTTTTTTAAAGCTATATTAGAGAATTAGAAAGTAAAATCCAAGCAGCACATCTCCCTAATCTCATGACGCTAGTCAAGCTCCAAGCTTTGAAGCTTTTAGGGGATATTGACATTTAAAAATTTCCCCAGAGAAGAAGTAATGCACATAATTGAAAATGTTAATAGGGTTTTCAATGTTCACTCACCACAGACTCCATGTCTTTTAAAGTTATTGGTTTTCCCAGCATCATCTTATAAAAGGGCCTAATGAAGAAACCTATGCACAAAGAAACAAAGTTTAATTAAAAACGGCTCCCTCCTGCAATATCACAATAATGTAGGCAGGATATTCTCAGTGTTAAAGTGGTAGAAAAAAAGATATGATGGCAGATTATCAAACAAAAATTTGAAACTGTCACCACCATCAACTATAGGAGAAATACCCTACAGTCAATACCCTGAAGAGAAACCAAGATATATAACAAATATATAGTCATAGTATTCCTTAGGAATAGAGCCAGTTTGATGTAGTGGTTAAGACACCAGGTTAGAAACTGGAAGACCATGAGTTCTAGTTCTTCCTTAGGTACAAAGCTGGTTGGGTGACCTTAGGCCAGTCCCTCTCTCTCAGCCCCAGGAAAAAGGCAATGGCAAACCACTTCTGAAAAACCTTGCAAGGAAAACTGCAGGGACTTATCCAGGAAGTTGTTAGGAGTCAACACTGACTTGAAGGAACAAATAAACAAATTAAAAATTAAAAAATCCTTGGGAGTAATGCTGGTCAAATGTATTATTATCCCTACAATTAATTCCTCACTTTCTCATGATCTTCAGTGAGGAGTCAAAGGGACCTCAAGCAATATTTCTTTTTATGCCTGGCAAGTTCCCTCTTTTTAAAAAAACAGAAGCCCTGACAATCCCAAAAGCAAAGTACCAGCCTTTAGCATCAGGTTAATTTACAATAATATCTTTGGACCCCTGACAGAATGTATAGTATTCTTAAAAAATAAAAAAAATGTGAGTGTCCGCAGTCAAATGCTTTGTTTGGAAGTATGCCCAGAAAAATGTCCCAAACCCAGTTCAGAGAAAAGACCAAGGATAGCATCCCTGGAGACTAACAAGGATAACAGGAAGCATCCTTGCCAAGTTGCTTTCTGTTAAATGGATGTGGTCTTTTTTTGCAATGATCTCCATGGCCAACACTTTGTAAAAGTGCCCACGACTTGCTCTCACTATTCCAAATGTTTCTAGTACCCTAAAAGATGGTCTATATGTGTTCTTTCGCATTGTCAAAATTACTGCAGAGGTTTTCCTACCTACTCTTACCAAGGTTGCTCTTCAAATCTTGAGTGCAAATAGGACTTCAGTATAAATTGCCTTCACAAAACCAAATGTACAGATTGTACTTAGCAATGCATAATGCTTAACTATTTCAAGGGAATAACCCACCATAAGCCATGATCTTGTGCCCTTCTCTTCCAGAATGGCCTCAAGGTAATTGGAATCTTCTGCTTTTGCTTTAGATCAGTAATAGTTTAGCATTATGACTGAACCTCAAATCATGATTTCTCTTATTGGGGTTAGTAAAAAAATGCAATCAACAGATTCCCCAAATGCTTCCCCCTTTGTGAAGGGACAAGGGGGGAAGTGCCAAATTTCACAGAAATGTTCAGGGTTGCCTTCTTTAAAATTAAACATGCTTCCTTTTTCAGATTAAATTTCCTTGCTCTGTATCTGGGGGAGTTATAGCATGAGTTGCAAGAGATTTTCTATGCAGTCTCAAAACAATATTAAATTTTGATGAGACATGAAGATGGGCGTAATTCAATTACCACACCAAGCCAAGATTATTGAAGATTAATGCAGATGAGGTTTGGCATGTCTAGGTTGACATTCCATGAGTCATAAATGTTAACTAGAATCAAAAATTGTGTGAACGATACAACCTATTTTTCAGACTGATAAACTACAGTATTAATGCTGAAAAGCAGAGAATGAAAGCAGCTAAGTATCAATAAATATTAGATTGATTGCTTGGATGACTGAAGTCTACAGTCTACAAGGTTAGGCTTTCAAAATATTAAAAATGGATTGTGTGCCTAGCTCTTAATTTATGAACTGATTAACCTGATGTGCATGTTAGGAAACTTCCATGGAGTTATATTTCTTGAAAACCCAGAAAGAAGTGAACAATTTCTAACAGGAACAAATTCTTATTATGTGAGAGCAACAAACCAGTCATTGTGGGGAAGAAAGGTAATGCTTCTCTGAATTTGGGGATATAAAATATTTCTTACTGTAGCAACAGAGAAGAGCAAAACAGCTTCAAAAAAAAAAAAAAAAGAAAGAAAAAAGAAAAGAAACCCTCCTTACTGTGGATGATCTTAATTTAAAAAATACATTGGTAATTATTCCAACTGAATGTCGTTCTTTATTGTAAGGAAGAATGGTTAGAATTTAGCTCTTTAAGGCACTGTTAACAGTGGGCCAAAAAATACAACAATATTCCTCCTTCAAATATGGCTGCTGGAAGGAACAAGCTGGTAAGTCTTTGCAATCCACAGGGTAGCTGGGTCCTGAAGAAGATAAATGATGTTGGTTTACTGCTGCACAAACATATTCAATGTGAATAATTTTCTGAGAACAAGCTTAATGATTCTCAGTGAAAAAGTTCTCCAGAGCACAACATTGTACTGTTTCTTTGTTTGACCTAGTAGATTAGGCTGAAGACACTAATCAACAATCAGTGTCTATGCCTGTCTGGAGGATCCCAATACTCAAGGCATTACTTGAGTCATGTACTTGAGATGGGGGGGGGGGCTATATAAATAGAATAGATAATAAAGGTAGAGAGAATATCTACATAGCTATGTGATGTAACAGCTAAAGCACTAGGTTGAAACTCAGGAAGCCCACATTCAAACCCTTTCTTAATTGTGTAGCTTTAGGAAATTTACTGAATAGCTTGGTAAAGGTCTTCATCTTATCCCAGCCAATCTCAAAGGATTGCTTTTCACTAGGAAGAAGACACAGGAAGATTATACTCCAGCACACATTTGGGTATCTTTTCCAGAGATTTTAAATACTTCTGCAGACAAAGAAAAAATGTCGCTCAGAATGTAGCCTAGTTTATTGTCCTTACAAGGCACTTGTGGGGGGGGGGGCAGCCCTTGAAAATGGTCTACGAACTGCAGCTGGCCAAGTGCCATCCATGTGTTGAAAGAGCTACACTAATTGCTTCTGAAGCTGAACTGAAGGTCTTTATTTTGACGTAAAATCTGTCTGTGGCTTACCTGCAGGACTGCCTATTCTCATACAGCCTGTACCATACTCTTAGGTTTTCAGCAGGGCATCTGAAGTTTTACTATGGGTGTGCCTAACATTGATAATAAATGCATTAGAAGACTGAAATTCACATTGCGTTATACAGGGAGTCCTCAGTTTAAGAACGAGTTCCATTCCCAAGGTCTGTCCTTAAGTCAAATTTGTATGTAAGCTGGAA